ACCAGCAGGAGTGCTGAATTTTTTTTGTAAGATTTATTTATTTTTTATTACAAAGTCAGATATACAGCGAGGAGGAGAAATAGCGAGGAAGATCTTCCATCCGATGATTCACTCCCCAAGTGGCTGCAATGGCCGGTGTTGATCCAGAGCAAGGAGCCAGAAACTTCCTCCAGGTCTCCCATGCAGGTTCTAATCCCAGCAGCTCCACTGCCCATCCAGCTCCCTGCTTGTGGCCTGGGAAAAAAGCAGACCAGGACAGCCCAAAGCTTTGGGACCCTGCACCCATGTGGGAGACCTGGAAAGAAGTTCCTGGCTCCTGGCTCCTGGCTCCGGATCGGCACAGCACTGGCCATTGCGGCCACTGGGAAGTGAATCATCGGACAGAAGATCTTCTTCTCTGTCTCTCCTCCTCTCTGTACATCTGTCTTTCCAATAAAAATAATAAATACTATTAAAACCCAACAAACAACTATCTCACAAGACTAGAGGTCAGTCACCTCCCTTGCTGTTCACAGATTCTGCAGTTGATCATGTTAGATGTTAGGGTTGCGCACGGCCCCGATAGGCAGTTTCCCTGCCCCAGTATTGGTCAGCTGGCAGGCAGGGCAGGAAGGTGACGGGCGTGTAGGTGACAGCAGGGAGCCGTGGCACTCACCACACACACCTCTTCACATGTTTGGCTGCCAGAGTCCAGGGCCAGCATGGATTTAGGAATTCAGAATTCAGAACTGATCTTTTAGAGATCAAGCCTCTTATGGTGTAGACACAAAGAGGCAAGCACAGTAAGGTCAAGTCGGCTGCTGCTGTGGTGGCTGCTTCCTCTTCATCAGGATTTTTTTTTTTCCTTTGAAAAGCAAAGAGGAGAGAGAGAAGAAAAACTGGAGCTGAGCTGATCTGAAGCCAGAAGCCAGGAGCCTCCTCTTGGTCTCCTATATGTATGCAGGGCTGCATAGACTTGAGCCATGCTTTCCCAGGTCATAAGCAGGGAACTGGATAGGAAGTGGAGCAGCTGAGACATGGATCCTAAATAGGATGCAGGTGGAGGATTAGCATGGTAGGCCACTATGCCAGCCCCAGCTTTTCCTTTGCTGTTTCACAAACACCTGATTCGGAAGGTTCACTTTAGAGTACATCGCCTTCCTCCAAGACCAGCTCCTTTGGAACTTTTTATCTCAGAGATTGAAACTCCCACTCCATTCATCACTGCTAGAGAATGGGGGTAACTGCGCCCCTTCCCTCCCTCAGTTTCTGGGTTGTGGCATTGTCACCTCTTGCTGTGCCTGGCTCCAGTGCCGCTGTCCTGCGGTGACACTAAAATGACGAGGAACTCTCGAGGGCCTGGAAAAACAGGAACCGCCACTGCAACTGGCACACACACACCGAAAGAAACACTCGATGGCCAGCCGCCATCTTGCGGCCCCTCATACTGTGGGGTCAGCTCCTGGCGCACTGCTCCCCACACTCCAGGGTGTCTCACCCTTTTCTATCCCAGTCTCATTTTCCCTTGATTTGGGATCTCTTCGGCCTGACAGCAGGTGTTTGGATCTCATCTAGCCACTGTGGCCCCACATGTAGCCCCTTGTTTCTGCCTGATGGGGAAAGGCCTGGGACTCTGACTGCTTTCCTGCCTCAGCGTCTATGGACTGCACATACACTGAATTTTTTTTTGATTTATTTATTTTTATTGCAAAATAAGATATACACAGAGGAGGAGAGACAGAGAAGATCTTCTGTCCGATGATTCACTCCCCAGTGGCCGCAATGGCCAGTGCTGTGCCGATTTGGAGCCAGGAGCCAGGAACTTCTTTCCAGGTCTCCCACATAGGTGCAGGGTCCCAAAGCTTTGGGCTGTCCTGGTCTGCTTTCCCAGGCCACAAGCAGGGAGCTGGATGGGCAGTGGAGCTGCCGGGATTAGAACCGGCAACCATATGGCATCCCGGCGTGTTCAAGGTGAGGACTTTAACCATTACTCTATTGTGTTGGGCCCAGACACTGAATTCTGATAAAGCTGAATGGCTGCTGGCAGCACAGACTTGCAGTACTTGGTTGCCTTCTGTCCTTAGGCCACTCCAGGCTTCCAGAATCCCCTCTGCTCCCTCGTCAAATGCCTCCTCGTGTTCATGCTTCTGCACAGAGGCTGTCTTCTCGTTAAATGCCGCTATGCTGAGGGGATGGCTATTCCTTTGATATGGCCCTCACTGTATCTGTTTTTGTTCATTTTTAAAGAGATTTATTTATTTATTTATTTAAGAGGCAGAGTTCTAGACAGGGACAGGGAGAGAGAGAAAGAAGGAGAAGGAAAAGTAGAGAAAAAAAAATCTCCTATTGACTATTTCACTCCTCCAATGGCTCAGTGACTGAGGCTTGGCCAGTCTGAAGCCAGGAGTCTGGAATTCGATTCAGGTCTGCCATTGAGGGTAGCAGGGTCCCAAGCCCTCGTGCCATCATCTGCTAGCTTCCTAAGTGCATTAGAAGAGGGCTGGATTGGCAGCAGAGCAGCCAGAACTCAAACTGGTATTTGTGTGGGATGCCGGCTGACTAGTTTGGCCACAGTGCTGGCACCATCCACTGCATCTGGACCATGCAAGCACTCTGACACCACCTCTGCAGTGGCAGGTGAGGCAAAAGTCTTCCTAGGGGCCCAGTGAATTCCTGGGTGGAAGTGTGGCTTCCTCCATACTTCAAATCCCCAGTGCCAACTGAGGGAAAAGCTTGGCCAATCACCAATGCATGAGTTTTAGGCAGCTGATGAGCAACTAATAAGACATTTGACTGTCTGGGACTGAGTTGGGGTGATGGCTTGAATTAGCTCCTTCCTCCCAGCTGCTGAACTGTGGGCAGGAGTCGGGGGCTCTGACCCTCTCAAGGGTCTCCAGGGCAGAAAGGGTCAGGTACACATTTATGCACCCCTTAATCCTTACTTCTATCATGAGACTAGAAACCCACACCCAGAAGTGCTGACCATGGAATGTGACCCGAGCGTGTACGGATTCAAGAGGCCTGGGATTTCAAACACGAAGTTTTGCAGGATGAGGAGGAAGGGCCAGGCACGTTTTATATTGTGCACTTTTCTTTCTTAAGATTTAGAGAAAAATCTTCTGTCCGATTATTCACTCCCTAATAATCACTCCCCAAGTGACCACAACAGCCGGCGCTGTGCCGATCCGAAGCCAGGAGCCAGGAGCTTCTTCCAGGTCTTCCACGCGGGTGCAGGGTCCTAAGGCTTTGGGCTATTCTCGACTGCTTTCCCAGGCTACAAGCAGGGAGCTGGATGGGAAGTGGAGCTGCCAGGGTTAGAACCAGCACCCCTATGGGATCCTGGCGCTTTCAAGGAGAGGACTTCAGGTGCTAGACCACACCACTAGGCCCTATTGTGCACTTCTCAAGACAATAGAATTATGAAAGTCTGCCTCTGTTGATGGCTCTCCCTCCTGCGTCCTCAGGGGAGGCCATTTTCTGACCTCAGGGATCTCATTGTCTGACCCCCTTCCACCCCCCTACTGCCACAGCACAATGACAGAGACAATCTTTGGCAAAAGAAACAAGCTGTAGAATTGAAACACAAAATGGTTCAATGCTACTAAGAAACTGCGTGAGCTTGCAGGCCAAATGGCCTATGTGACCTTTAGCACTGATGGGCCCCAATTCCCTTGAATCAAGGCCCAAGTCTTTATCTCACAGGTGATTCCAAGTAATTCTGTCAGTGATTACCTTAATTGCTGGACTGGAGAAGATCCAGGCGTGGGCTTTCCAGCTGAGGTAGGTAGGGAATGTGTGCTATTTCCCTCCTCACCTTGCAAGGCTGTTGTGGACTGCCCCTATAAAAACCCTGTGAATGTGTTGTTCTGGGCCACACTCCAGTAAGGGCCATTTGGTCAGTCGGCTGCCTTGCCTTCCAGTTATAATAAAACTTTGTTGTGACTGTCACTGGTCAATGTAACATTTTTGTTTTAGTGGTCTAGTGGATGCAACAAAAGGGGCCTCCAACTTTAATTTGGACAAGAAATTCTGCTGTTGGCTCAATTGCTTAGTTGAACAGAGCTGGTAAAGATAAAGGAAGCCAGGTGTGAGCTGCTGCATGCAGGTGGATTTCTTGAGAGCCAAGTGCAGAGGGGCCATCACCCCCGAGGAGGTGGGCTGGGAGGGAGTGAGGGCTTCAGGGAAGCATTACAGAGAGGGCGTCTGCTTAACCAGGGTGGAGAGCGACGTGACGGGACTGCTGCCCTCCCGCGGAGAGCAGCAGGGGAGCCCTTTGTGCTCCCGGAGGATTGCATTCCGAGGGAATCCCTTGACCCAGAGCAGTGTAGGAAATGGACACATCCCCAGCCACCAGGACAGAGGAGTCGCCATTTTAAGTCCTTTCTGCCCGCTGCTCTAGGAACGGAGGGTCAGGGACCTATTGTTGGACGCTGGCCAGAAGGAGCAAATTCTCCTAGGCTTTGACCTTGCTCGGGCGGCGCCCTCTTCGTGCTTTGGGATCGTGCTGAATAAGCAGAGCCAGAGTTTTGTGTGGTTCCCCCGCTCCTCCTGCAGGGGCTTACCCGGGGTGAGTGCGCGTCCAGAGTTCTGCAGGTCCCACAGCCACTGGCCGAGGACAGCACCTCCTTCACGCACTGGGGCGCCCTGATTCCAGCTACAAAGAACTTCTGTTAGCAGAGAAGGCTGCAGGAGAGGCGGGTGGGGGAAGCTCGCGTTACTTCGGTAACTCCTCGCAGAGCAGGAGGAGGGGGCTGGGCCGAAGTGAACACCCCAAAATTAGCCTGTTTGTCACTTTGGGGCCCTGAGAACTTTGCCTACTTGCCCCCTACCAGCCGCTCGGCCTCACCCTCCACTTGAGCTCTTGGCCCTTGGCACCGATTCCAGGCCCTGCCTTCCTCCGGGCAGCCAATCCCCTTCGCGGCCGGGAAGGGGAGGAAGGGGCCGAGGCTGGAGCCCAGATTGGCTCCTCCCGCCTAGGTCCTTGATCGCCTGCCTGGTATTCCTCGGCCTAGTCGCTGCCGCGTCTGCGCCCAGGATCTCGCTCTGCCATGGGCACTGCAAGCTCCTCTCCGCTCGCTCGCCTCGGACTCCCCACACCGCTCCTGCCGGCGCAGTCCCGATCGAAGTGGCTCGGGGTCGCCGCCCTTGGCCTGGCCGCGGTGGCACTGGGGGCCGTGGCCTGGCGCCACGCGCGTCCCAGGCGGCGCCGGCGGCTGCAGCAGGTGGGCACCGTTGCACAGTTGTGGATCTACCCGGTCAAGTCCTGCAAAGGGGTGGCGGTGAATGCGGCGGAATGCACGCTCATGGGGCTGCGCAGCGGCCACCTGCGGGACAGGTACAGTCCAGCTGGGCGCGTGGCAAGCGGACATGCTGGAGGTGGAGCTTGTATGTTGGGAAAGAAGGGTGGAATTTTCACTCCACCTGTTCTTTCAGGATTGAAGGTTGGACCTTTGATCCTTTAGCTGGGAGTCAAGTTGATATCTGAATAGGATTTGGACAAGTCGGCAGAGGCCAGCCCCACCCTTGTAGATTTAGTCCTTGGAACAGGAGGTGCTTATCTCCAAGTCTTCTGTTATCTGTGATGTTTAGGACTCTAAGTATAAAGCACAATGGCAGAGGCACAGAAACAAAGAAGCAAAATCTTAGTGTTCGAAGATTTTGGTCTTGTTGGGGCTGGTTCCTCCTATTACTTCAAATCTGGGAACTGTGCTGTGAGAGTTGATCTGCTGGAATGAATACCGAGCAGATTAAGAGCAAGCTCTTGGCCCCCACAGTGGGAATAACACTTGCTATCAAGGAGTAGTGCGCCCCTTTCTCCCAATGGCACTGTGGCCTCTCAGTGAGGCACCCATGAGCAAAATTCTCGTCTAGTTAGGGCCCTAGATAGTATATGAACATTGCAAATTTAGGAGGAAGATGCTTTTTATGTGGCTGGAATAATTTAGGTGTGGGAGGAGGGAGATGTGCGAGTTGATCATTCGAGGACTCTGCTAGCAGAAAGCCACCTGTGCCTCGTGTCCCTGCTCGGCACATGGACACCCTGACAGCCTTTTGGACAGTGTAGGCTCCCGTTGTGCTCGGAAGCATTGCTTGCTGTAGAGAAGTGTTGCACATACAGACCATAAATGTCATGGGAGAGTTCCTTCCCCCCTTCCCTATCCCAGATTTCTAATCCTGGAGAGGTTAGTAAAACTGATTTCCAGGGACAGCTGACTCAGTCACCAAGAGGGAGGTCAACTTGTCTATGCTGACAGACGATTCTAACGTTGCATGCAATTCAGGGTTTTGTCTGAGACCACTTCGCAATGATGGTTAGAGTTTATTCAGTATGGAGGACTTGAAAAGCCTGCTTATTGCTAGAAGGACTTCCTGTGTGGCAATCCTAGAAACCCTCCAAAGCCAGAGAAGTGGATTCCCATGATGCACAACCAGAGAAAATGGCCGTGTCCTGCTTCCTCCCTCTGGTGAAGAAGAGCAGCTATTTCGTAGTTTTCCAGTCCTTACCATAATTCCTCTGGTTACCAGGATAGTGGCTGCCTTCCCACTCTGCAATTGGCTGCCTTGCTGTGGCCATCACTACATTGGAGAGACCATCTGCATCCTTGCCTGTGCTTTCCTGCTTCTGTGAGCATCTTTGAAGAGGATGCTGGAGAGCAGGTAGAGACTAGAGTAGCAAGAAATGCAGTGAAGCTAATACTTACCCAGTGCTTAATATGTAACAGACTGTGAGATCCTAGGGTGCAATAACTAAAACCTGACAGTCTCATGGGGTGGATACTGTTACCTTCATCTTGCAGAGAAGGAAACAGTATAATGAAGGCTGTGTATCTCATCCCAGCTCACAAAACCAATATGTGCTGGAGAGATTTGAACTCAGACCTGGATGAACATTGCTCTCACACTGGTTCTTTGAAACCAGTGAGTGATGGAAACATAGGAGGATTATGTAGGGGACCTTTGACCAAGTTATTTAACTTTGTAAGAAGTTAAACTTGGTAATCCCTAAGACTCCCTTTTCACCTAGATTATTTTAAAAGTGAAAGATCATTGATATTTGAAAGCAAACTTTGGAATGTGTTCTGCCTATTGGTTGCTGTTATTTCCACCTGAGGATGCTAGAGCTCCGTTACACATATTCCTAAAGTGTACAAGGACTCAATCCCTCAGTGTGTGTTTCTGGGAGATGCAAAGCAGCTGAGCTTGTCTTCTGTAAGTACACTGTCCCTCTGTGTTCTGGAGGTATTTTGCTCCAAGCTCTCTGCATATTTGCACTTGAGCTTGGCTGAGCACTTCAGTCACCCCAAAGGTTGCATGGGCTGTCACGTGCAGATTCTGGGTGGGTATGGCTGCCTTTGCTGATTCTTCAAGTCCCTGGTCTTCCTAGCAGCCATGTTGGCTTACATCTGATCACTTACATCTCTCCAAACCTCTTTGGAAGCTAAAACTGAAGCAAGTCTCTCGGGATATTATCCCGTGCCATCATTTCTTCTTCCTGTCCCTCCCCACTCCCTGTGCATGGGGGTGGGTAGGTAAGGATTTCTGCTTTCTCCACTTAGAAGCTCAGTTCCTCCTACTCCCCTGGCCTACATGTAGCATGAAAAATGAGATTGTCATGTCACGGATTGTGCCACCCCCTTGCTGCTGGCCACTGAGGCCCAATTGCTTTTGGGGCACCCTGGGCTCCCACACTCTGCATGTTCACATCTTACTTGTCAAATCCAGATGCACATGTTTAATATTACAGACTAGAGTGGGATAACTTGGTCATGAAAAGAATCCACATGCCTGATCTGTCTTTTCTTCAGATCTGGTAGAACAGAGCTAATTTTCCACTCAGTGGGCATGATGTGTTTGCAAGGGGTGAAAAATAGTAACGCTGAGGTGACAGAGTTACCAGCTGGTGAGGGCATGCTACAGATGGCAGCCTTGTTTTTGTCCTATCCCCACATTGAACTGTCTGCAAGGCCCTGCTTGCCTGTTTGATTGCACTGAGTAGCAGGAAACCCCAGCCACCACTTCCCACTGTTCACTGCGGCAGTTCCCCCTGTACAAGCTGCAGCGGAGGGCAGCAGTGTGAGCCACAGGGAAGGTTGGATGAGGGATCAGAAAGCTCAGTCCAGAGAGGCACTGGCTGTCTGGAATGACGTGCAACTGAGATGTCCTGTTTGGCTGTGTTTTGGTTGCGTGCATGACTCATCAGAAATCTTGTCTGGGGATTGGGCATGTTGGCATGAGAGGTACAGGCTTTGGTGAGGTTAACTGGTGGAGATGTGCTAATTTATAAAGAGCAGAGGTTTCTTTGGCCCATAGTCTGGAGACTGGGAAGTTCACGAACATGGTGCTGAGGTCTGAGGAGAGCTTCTTGCTGCATTATAACATGCCAGCCAGCACCATGTGGTGAGACAGAGTGGGTGTGTTTGAGAGAGCTTGCTTTAATGATACAGCGACTCTTTTGATAATCCATTCATCCATGGAAGGATTGATCAGCTCCTGCATGTGGGGTCCCTGCTCACGTGACACAGGTTTCACCTCCAAGCATCATGAACATAAGAATTTGGGGATTATTTTTCCAAACCGGGCAATTTAGGAGACACACTCAAACTGTGGGCACAGGATCAACCCGATCTCTGTACTCAAGGATGAGGGCTGAGCCCCACGGGGATGGAATCTCAATAAAATAGGCAGAAATCGCTAAATTATAAAACTTGTCGCAAGGATGAGTGGAGCAGATTATTGTTGGATACAAAGACCTGGGGGGGTGGGGGGGGAGTTGTCTTCCTCAGAACAGCAGGCATATGTTGCTGGCCAGCATGGCCAGGTCCTGGGAAGGAGGTAGCCAAGACAACTCCCAACATGCTTCCACATGATCACATTCTTACACGACACAAACACCAGCTAGCGGAGCATTGTCTGCTGGATTGGCTGCAGGGAAGCAATAGTTCAGTCGACACAGGGAATGGATTCTTGTGGCAAGCAGGGTCCATGTGCCAGGGTCAGGGAAGGGCAGAGATTGAGCTCCCTGCACCCTGTATTAGATGCTGTCACTGGGTTGCCACAGGCACGTGCTTCTGGCCACTGTCATGGTTTGAATTCCCCCCTTGGAGGCACTGCCTGTCATTCTAGAAGGGGTTGCCCTTCTTGATCCTGCCCACACTTGGGAAGGCTTAGTTTTTCCATGGTTGCTCACAGAGTTCTCCCGCTCTGCTTGTCTTCAGGTTCCATTTTTCTATCTGAAATCGTGATTTTTAAGACCAGTTTTCCCTAGGAGAAGAATACCTTTTTTAGCAACTGGATCATTCATACAGTGCATCCCAAATCTACGCTAGGCTGTAAATAAGAGCACGATTGACCAGGCCACTCCTCAGCTCCCACCATGGCAATAGGAAGTCTGGAATTTAGTTGACACGTGATGCCACAGATCTTTGTTGTCCACACCAGATGTTGTACGTAGGGGAAAGTTTGCTGACACAGGACCTGCACAGCGAGGTAAACAGAGAGCAGAGGCCAGCCTGCATTCACCTGCTGGTGCAACACAACAAGAGCTTTGGCGGGGGTGGTGGTCCAGTCCACATGGACCCCTAGCTTTGGTCCATCTTTTTTGGCTTCACAACAAAAAGACCTGGGAGGTATTTTCCTTCCCCAGGGGATGAGAGACACATTTAGCTGCCCACAAAGAGGTTTCTGGCCAAAGCACAGCCCCAAATAGAATAAGCCACCTGCTTGCTTCATCGTGAGGAGAGGCTCATCACAGTCTTCTTTTCTTTTCTTTCTTTCTTTCTTTCTTTCTTTCTTTCTTTCTTTCTTTCTTTCTTTCTTTCTTTCTTTCTTTCTTTCTTTCTTTCTTTCTTTCTTTCTTTCTTTCTTTCTTCCTTCCTTCCTTCCTTCCTTCCTTCCTTCCTTCCTTCCTTCCTTCCTTCCTTCCTTCCTTTTCTCCCTTCCTTCCTTCCTTCTTTTTTCTTCAAATCTGTACATGTTTATGCCTGGGCTAGACTTTCTGGCCAGGGCTGTTTGTATCAAACAGATTCCTTTGTGGGGGACACCAATTTACACATCTAAATGATTTGGCCATACTTTGACAATAATCTAGAAAAAGGTGCTGGGTCCCTGTGGAGGCAGGAGGGGCTTTTGAGGAGGACTCTACAGAAGGTGCAGAAGGACTTTCTGAGTGTCCCCTTGTTCGCTTCTCCACAGGTTCTGGCTGGTGATTAAGGAGGATGGACACACGATTACCGCCCGGCAGGAGCCTCGCCTTGTGCTGGTCTCCATCACCTATGAGAAAAACTGCCTGATCTTCAATGCTCCAGGCATGGAGCAGCTCGTGTTACCCAGCAAGCCGCCTTCCATGAACACCCTCCATGACTGCAGGTGCTCTGGCTGGGGGCAATCAGGGAACTGCAAGAGACTCCACTTCCCTGCAGGCTCCTTCCTGCCTTCTGCTCTGTTTGTTCAGCAGATGTTGAAAGTGTAACATTTACGAGAGGTGTGGTCTGGTTTGGGATTGGGCGAGTGCTGGGGTGTGAGTGGTTGATGCAGAGATTTACTTCATGGGTACCTAGGGTTTGTTTGAATCAGGTTAAGATCTGCAGCTTCCCTGTCTCTGCTCCTGCCCAGCGATGACCTTTGGGCCACCTCAGCAGGACAGTTAGCTGTGCCATCTTTGATGCCACCACTCAATGTGCTGATGAGAGTAACTGGGTGTTCTCCTGTGACCCTTCCAGAATATTTGGTATGGACATCCAAGGCAGAGACTGTGGCGATGAGGTGGCTCAGTGGTTCACCAGCTTCCTGAAAAGTGAACCATACAGGTTGGTCCAGTTTGATACGAAAATGAAAGGAAGAGCATCAAAGAACCTCTTCCCTGTGCCTGTACCGAAATACCAGGTGAGCTGTGGAGTCTGCCCCTGCTCCTCTCAGCTGCCGGCTGCCTCTCAGCATCCTTCTGTACCCGTGGAGATCCTCTGTTGGACCCCAAGTTCTATGAGGGTCCGGGACCTTTCTCTGCAGGCTTCCTTGCTGCTCCTCCAATGAGAACAGTGCCAGTGTGGGGCAGGCGCCTAGTAAATGTAGAGCCAATGGGTGTTATTGAAAACGTTGACCATGAGGGTGTGGCTGATTGATGGGGGACCTTTCCCTGCATTGGAGAGGAGGTCTCATGGGGGGAGGAGGGCTGGTCCAGGCTGCTGCCCTGTTCCTGGGCTTGCACAGGAGATGTGCCGCAGCACCGGCCATTTCCATGCCCACTGCCTCCTCTTTTGCCTGGCCATGCCTGTCATCTTTGCCGAGGTGGCTTTGTGTATGGACCTGGTTAACTTTGCAAGTGTTCCAGGCAGTTTCCTGGGATGCTGAGGCCTGATGGTGCTGTGTTTTGGGTACAGGTGGCCTATCCAGACTGCTGCCCACTCATGATCCTCTCGGAAGCCTCCCTAGCAGATTTGAATACCAGGCTGGAGAAGAAAATCAAAATGGAGCAATTCAGGCCAAACATCGTGGTGAAAGGCTGTGAAGCTTTTGAGGAGGTAAGTGACTCCTTGCTTTTGTGAGTTGTACGTGGTCTGCTGCCCAAGGGGGTAAGGACACGCTGACCACATCCTCCAGACTCTTTTTAGTCTGGTGAGGCTGTGGATTTATTGCTGCCTCTTTCACCTCACCTTGGCCTTGGGGGAAAGGGTTGCCACTGCTCGCCTTCTAATGCCTTGCATCCCCAAAGCGCACAAGTCTGAGAGTGGAGCACATACTCACAGCTTGGGGAAGAAGGGCAGAAATGGAGATACAGGCTAGGGTCATGTCCCTGTTCCCTGTGGGTGTCTTCAAGGAGCTGAGGCTCCTAGAAGCCCCAGGCCCCACAGTGGAGGCCCAGAGTATATAGGAAATGCCCTGTATGCACCTGCTGGATTGTAGCTTGCTGTGGCCTTAGGGCTCTGCTGACGGACTCCATAACTTCCTCTCAGGGATGGGATGACCACATCAGAAGCTAGTGATGGGAAAAAAGAGTACATCAGGACATGAACTCCACTGGGCTGAGGTTGCTTGGTGTTGAAACACAGCACAGGCAAATCAAACAGGGTAGGGGTGCCAGGTAGTGGGGGTGGCTCCATAAGCACTGGACATGACAGTGAGAAGCACCAACTGCTGGGGTTTTCCTGGGTGCTAGGCACCAAACCAATCAGCTCCATCACATAAATTCAATTATTTCACATGGATCACAGACACAGCATGAAGTCTGGAGGAACCTGCCGTTTCTGTAAGGCCTTGTCTAGCATGTACATGTGGCACCAGGACCGCACACTGGCAACTCTGTGGAGTTGGCAGGATTCCTGTGTGCAGACACCAAGAGGTTCATCCTGAGGAACCTCAGGTTCTCAAATACCCTCTTAGTTCTTACTGCACCCTGGGAGGGTCACATGTTTGCATGAGTAAAACTTTTCCTTATTGGCCAGTGGACGCTGTTGGGGCTGGACCTTTGCTTAGAGTCTGCTGCAAGTCCTTGTACAGGTAGGCTCTCCATGTTATTTGAGAATTCTTTTTTAATCAAGAAGTTATCTACTTATTGAAGTCATCTTGTCATTCATGATCTAGTTTTTCCACATCCTCTTTAAATGTGTTCATTACAATATATTGATCACTTACTATGGGCCAGGAAAATTGTCTGGAGCCTTGGTTATAGAAATGGGAAATAGGGTCCCTGCCCATTCGGATTTTCCATGGGAGAGGCATGGCCTTGTTGCCAGAAAAGCTTGGTGGGTTCTTTCCCCAGCTTAATATAAAAAACAAAACAAAACAAAACAAAAACCCAGGCATTGGTGGCAAACAGAGAAGTTTTACTTGCAAAGTGACCAGGAGAATGTAAAAAGAAAAGGGAGGGAGGAAGCACCTCCCAGGAGAGTGCTGGGAGATGGGTGACTGTTGAAGGGAGAGAGGGAGAGCCACCAAAGGTTTGAGGAAGGCTCTTGGGATTTCAAGCCTTCCCTGAGCCCTCCATGTTGGGCAGGAACCTATGGGTAAAACGTTTCCCATTAGTCATCTCTTAGCCAGTTAGGATTCTTGTGCCACCCACCTGAAGGTGTGGTTAAGGTTTCAGTGGGCTTGGATGGTCTCAGGCCCCAAGACTGGCAGTGCAATGTGAGGAGTGCTGCAGTGGACACTCTCAGAGGACAACAGTGATGCCCGGGAGTAGAGATTCCCCAGGACAGGTGCTCAGTCACTGCTTGAGACACCCACATTCCATATCACAGGGCCTGGGTTCAAGTCCTGCCTCTGCTTCCCATTCTAGCTTCCCAGGTAACTAGGTGATGGCTCAAGTATCTGGATCCCTGCCGCCTGTGTGGGAGACCTGGGTTGAATGTCAGCCTTCTGGCTTTTGCCTGGGCCAACTCTAACTTTTGCAGGCATGCAGGGAGTAAACCAATACATGGAAGCTCTCTCTCCTTGTCTTTCAAGTATAAACATTTTTTTCCCAAGTAGTAATTCCCTTAAAATATTCCTTGAAAAAGAAGAAAAAAGCCTAAATCTGTCTGGAAAAGGGGTACCACTATAGATCAGGGTGGTAGAGGGGCATGAAGGCAATTACAGAGGCAGCTGCTGCCAGGCCCACAAGCACATGGGGCTATGACACACAGCAGTGCCTGGGAGTTACTTCAGAGTAACTGTGGGCAAAAGAGAGGTGACAGGCAGGGGCTGGGCCCACAGTTGGCTGGTGGCAGGAGTTTGGATTTGATACTGTGGGTGTTGAGGAAGTGGGAATGAATCCAAACAAGGAAGTAATTAAGATTTGCATTCATCCAGCAAATTCCCAGTGGATGCCTCCAGCATGGCCGTCTTGGTGCCTTGCTGCAAGGGCCTAGGACAGGCATGGAGGGTCAGCAGAGCCTGGGGCAGAGAAGCCAGTGCCACACTGAATGGCCAGGGTCATCTCTCATACAGAGTGACAGATGAAGCCAGGGCCCAGGAGCTTGCTCTGGGTCTCTTGAAATGGCTTCAGGGGCCCAAGCACGTGGGCCCTCCTCCACTGCTTTTCAGACGTATCAGTAGGGAGATGGATCAGAAGTAGAGCAGCTGGGACTCAAACCAACTCCCATATGCAATTTGTGTGCTGTCAATGACATCTTTTACCTGTTAGGCTAGACTAGATAAAATCTTGAGTTGAGACAATAAGAAGAAAAGATACTGTGGCAGCTGGTTAAAAATTTGCCCTATAACTTAACCTCAGATCAAGCAAGGCATGCCTAATCCTGCTCTTAGGGAATCTAAGTATTGCCTTTCCCCCCCCCTTAAATATAAAACTGCTATGGAAATTTATACTGGTAAATCTATTTGTTTTATTCCTGCATTGTGAAGGACTCATAGAAGTGGTGAATAAGATCACTCTTGCTTTTCTGAAGGGGTCACCTGGTCATGCACATTCTAGAAAGGACCCTTGCTATGAAGTATCAGTGTCTTACTGTCCTCTGTGTGGAATCAGGGGGGCCCAGGAGTTAAGGACCTGATGCAGTGGCCCCTCTTCCTAGTGCCATAATGAACTAGGATCCTTTTCCATTAGTGGGGCTCTATGAAATATTAAAGTAAAAGAATAATGCTTTAAATAGTTAATAGACTAATAAGAAATTAGCCAACCTCAGCATAGTACAAAATCCAGACCTCTCTTTATTGCAAAACTGTAGAGCAATAGGAAGATCTGTTGCGAAACATTTACTTTTCAGTGACCTGGAGTACTTTGCACTTTCTCCAGGTAACTCAAAACATTAAGCATGGTTTTAAAAAGCTTCTGTCTTTGGGCCAGTGGGTGGGTTTGAGGGCTGGGAATGAAGAGCTATCAAGTTGAAAATAACACAACCACCCAGTGGTGCTCAGCTTTGTCACTGAGAGCTATGGGGGAGGCAGTGTTTCTGGAGGTTTGCTCTCTGTCCTGCTAAGCCAAATGACTTTTTTTGGGGAGTGAGATTGGGGTCGGCAGAGGGATGTCTTGTTCTTAATCCACAATAGGTAAGAATCATGGAGATGCTTCTAGAAACATTTCCCTGACCCGCCCTGCCATGTGTTATCAGTCATTGCACAAGTGTTTCCCTAAGAAACTTCTGGAGAGGGAGATGTGAGGCCAGGCAGCTGTGGTCAGAGCCCCAGCCAGCCTCACTGGCAGTGTGAACTGGGTTCTTCCTTTGCAGCTGTTGAAAAATGAAATTTTGGCAGATCATCATCAGACACTTTTGTCCCCGCTGACCTGACTTGGGTTGAGTCAGGGTTTTATGTAGGTGCTTGGGAAACCAGCCCCTGTCCTGGCCTCAGAACAGCTCCCTGTCCTCATGGGTTCCCGAAGCAGCAAAACGCTGGCAGTGTGTTTTGGAAGTACTCCTCCAGTTGTGCTTGCAGTGATGGAGCTGTGAGAAAGCTCAGAGCTGGGACCTGTCAGCTGCCGGGGAGAGGGGTCAGAGGTGCTGAGGACTTGTTTGATCGGAGCTGGGTCCGAATGTAGAAGTGATGCCCTGGGTTTTCTTCAGGGGGAGAATGGTTTTATTTTGGAACAGGACATTAAGGAGCATGCATTTGCAGATTTCTGTGTTTATTTGAAATGCAGAGTTGTACTCAGAGAGGGAGAGATGGGGAAAGATCCTCCAGCCACTCATTCACTCCCTCAAATGACTGGGCCAGGAGCTTCATTCAGATTGCCGTTGTAGGGGGCAGGAACCCAAATACTTGGGGGTATCTTCTACCCAGGTACACTAGCAGGGAGCTGAATTGGAAGTGGTGCAGCTGGGACTCAAACAGGTGCTCAGATGGAATGTTGACATCTCAGGTGGTGACTTAATCCACTGCACCACGAGGACGCTGGCCCCCTATTTCTAGGTCTTCTAGATTCTGAGTCTGCTATTGGACCCCAGGCAAGGAAAAGGGGCTGGTGAGAGTTTAGTCTCCAAAAGGCCAGCGGGTTCCTCCACCATGGCTTTGAATGGAGCATCTGTGGGAGCATGCAGATGGGGTCCAGAGGGCTTGGAACTGGCAGCACGCAGAGGACCTGTGTAGTCCCAGCCCATACCTGGCCCCCTGCATCTCTCATTGGGATGTTCCCGATAATCCAGTAATAACACGGCACTTTCCCAGCTCTTGGAGTCGTATGACAAATTACTGAACTCCAAAAGGGGTCATGAGGGCTCCTGATTTACATCAGAGCACAGGTCACAGGCTGGGGCTTGCCACTGGCCTTGGAGGAAGGGCCAGCCCTCAGTGGTGGCCAACGCAGTCTTCAGGGAGTGTCAACACTGAACACTCTCATTTCTTGGATTTCGGTTTCAGAAAGAACCTGAAAAGTTGCTTAGATAAGAATGCTTTTTAAAAAAGAGATTTATTTATTTTAATTGGAAAGGCAGAGTTACAGAGATGAGGAAAGATACAGATATTCTATCTGCTGGTTCACTCCCCACATGGTTGCAACAGCCAGAGCTGAGCTGATCCAAAGCCAGGAGCCACTTGGGTGCAGGGACCTAAGGACTTGGGCCATCTTCCACTGCTTTCCCCGGCCATAAACAGAGAGCTGGCTGGGAAGAGGAGCAGCTGGGACACAAACTAGCTGGGAATGCTGGCACTTGCAGGCAGAGGATTAGCCAATGAAGCCATCTCAGCAACCCCGACTGAAATAATTTTTAAGTAGGCTGGATTATAAGGCTTTTCATACAGATAGAGTAAATAAGGAAACAGAAGAAAATAGACATTTACTATAAGCAATAATATCACTTATGACAAACAGTACTACGAGGAGCCTGTGAGCTGTAAGTACATAGCCACGCAGACAGATGGTTTGGCACATCCTACTGTCAGTGGTGCACGAAAGGCCCCCTAAACCAGGAAGGAATCCTGAGGCTGAAGAGTGAGAAGGCGGCTTACATCAAGAGTTGGAACCCAGAATGGATGGGCGAGCTGACAAGAGACACGGGGACGTGAAGGAGTTCAATAGTGGCTGATCCCCGGAAGCTTGGCTGGAAAGCCTGTCCCAGCACTGCTTCCCTTGCTTGTTTCTGAGTGTTCTGGGGGCCTGTGGCAGGTGGCTCCCAGCATGAGCAGTGCTCACTGCCTGAGTTGTTGTTTCTTTGTTTAGGAAAGCCCCTGAACCTTTTTTTTTTCCCAAATGGAAATTTAAATTTCATATAGTATTCATTTACTTTTCAGTAATTGGCAATGTATTATTTCCCTCTGCCATCTAGGATGATATTGAAACTTCATTAGCTGAGTATTTTTGTGCAGCAAATAACGCTGCCTACCGAAGGTAGGGGACGAAGAGCAGACTAGGATGAGAGGAATTATTCTGTGTAGGGCCTAACATTGTAAAAAGTAGTCACAGCAGCACTGTGGTTTGGGAGCGCTGGGTTCTGAGGAATCCAGTTTGCTAGCTTAGTAGGGGTCCTGAGGTTTAAGAGCGGGAGCATATAATTTCAGTCTTGCTGAGCTAGAAACTTGACTGCCGTTTTCAGACCTCGGAATGTGGCCTTCTAAAACTGACTTATTCTTCACTGGGGGTGAGCAGGGGTTGAGCCCGGAGCGCCTGCCCTGCCCTGAGTGCCTGACCACCCCGAGCACCTGTCCACCCCAGTGCCTGCCCACCCTGAACGCCTGCCACCCTGAACGCCTGCCCACCCCGAACGCCTGCCCTGCCCACTCCAAGCGCCTGCCGACCCCAGCACCTGCTGACCCCAGCACCTGCCCTGGCCACCCCGAGTACATGCCCTGCTGACCCCGGCACCTGCCCACCCTGAGCACCTGCCCACCCTGATCACCTGCCCACCCCGAGCACCTGCCGCCCCGAGCGCCTGCCCACTCCTGCCGACTCTGAGCTCCCACTCCGAGGGCCGCAGCGCCCTCGGGTGGTGACACGCGCTCAGGGCACCTGTCTGCATCCGTGTCACTCCAACGCACTGGAGCAGGCTGGCTGGGCGGACTCGCTGGTTGCATGCGACGACCCTGCCTATTACCGAGGTTCCACTGTTCATCAGTGCACTGCTTGTTGCAGACCCAGGGCGTCTACTGAGACCCCTTGATCTCCGTCCACAGCTGTGGCCACAGCAGGTGGGTGGTGTCTGGAGTTTTGGAAGTGGAGAATCTTTTGTACATTTGCTAGATCTCCGCTGAGGGTTCCCTGCTGGGGAGGCAGGAGTGGGAATGCAGCTCCTGGCCCTGAACTTGTCATTAGTATGAAGGAATGAGCCTGCAGTGCAAACATCAAATCGGCACAGACAAGCCAGGGCACCTTAAGGTTAAGGAACACAGGTGGCTTTTCTGATGTCATCAAGAGGAGGACCTGTAGCCTTTTTACAACCCGACAGACTTCCCTTCCGCATGTGGCTTTGAAATGACCAAACTGAGGAAAGGGAGAGAATGAAGTGTAGGAACTCCAGGCGTCACTCAGGCCGGTGGGCCCCATTCCTGAGGCCACAGCGCCCTCCGGTGGTGAAACGCGTCCATACAATTATTGATACAGTGTCAAGGCTGGAGTAGAATTTGGCTCCCCAAACTCACGCTGGTGCTTAAACACTAAAGTTCTCATGTTAGAGACTGACGGGTCGTTGACGGAGAATTGATCTCGTGGTGTCCGAGGTAATCGGCAGTGTGGCCTCAGGAGGGAGTTCTTGCCAGAAAGTTGGATTAGTTAATTAATTATATGCAGAGATGAGACTAGGTTCTGTCTACTTCCTGGCTCCCCTCCTGTCGGTCGCTCCACACCTTCTCCGTCGAGGCTAGCCTTCACTACATGCCATTCTGAGGGATGAGACTCCAAGCTGCCAGAAACCTTTCTCTGCAGAAGAAGCTCCCACGGGTGCTGAAAGCTGTCTGATACACGGCGTTGAGGCATGCTCATCATTTTGAGTTAAGGGTGCTAGAACCACAACAGTTGCAAGAGGCTCTCCCTGACCTACCTTCCTTTTCCTGACACATGGGAGCTGAGGTCCCCGCAGGAAAGAGGCTTTCCCAGTGCCCGGGCGAGGAGTCCTCCTTGCCATCATGCCCAGGAATCTGAGAGCAAGGGAAAGCAGTACTAACAAACCTTGTTAAAATGTCCCTTGTGCTGCTGGCATGCCTCTGCTCAGTCAGCTGTGTGCCCAGGCGCCTCTGTCTTGCCCCGTCTTTCAAGTTTGCTATCTGGAACCAATGTGACGTATCAGCGTCCAATTCTAATCATGTCTTTGGGTCTTCATCTCATTATGAAGGCTCCCATGCTGTATTAAACCTTACATTACATACATTTTGCATGCATCTCCCCCTGTTGATTGCTCTGATGCCAACTCAATTCTCAAGTCTAGCTGAAAAATACCAAAAAAGTAGAGACAATATTTTACCTCCCCTATAACTAGCTGCTAGCTCCTCCACGTATGTGTGTGGATGTGGATGGGAGAATGTCTGCCTATCAAATCACATGATTCATCATAAATAAGGGTCGTTCATGGTGTTCATATCTGTGTGCAGTTGGACTCAGCTCTCTGTGAGTTTTGCACCTGCCCAATTCAGAGAAGACTGGAAATGGTGGAAGTGGTCTACGGCCATTGGAACATGTGTGGACACCTCCACCCAGTCATTCTCTCAAGAATGCAAAGTAAACACTTCGCATAGAGCACCTGCATTGTGTTGGTTCTGTAACTAGTCCAGCTCTGACTTAGCACATGCAGGAAAACATACAGATGTCCTATGCCTTTCAGCATCCTGGGATTTCCGTGTCCACAAGGGGAGGGGGAGTCCATCCCCCTTGCAGCCTGGAGGACAACTGTGGGTGCATGCTTGTACCTCTGTGAGTGAATAAACAGAAGGAGCCGTGACCAGAGAGTGCCAGACTGACTTTCCTGGGGTGATGTCTTCACCTGTTTTCTATTATCCTAACAGACTGTGGGGTCGGATGCACTTAGGACAAATAGAGGCACAGCTCAGGGTTCTGGATGTCCAAGATGGAGATGCAATTCCTGGGAATAGTGTAGAGCCTTGAGGCAGAGGGATCATCACACTGCAAGCAGGGCAAGAGACAGAACTCCGTGTGCCCATGGGAGCTTGTTCTGCTGGCAGAGCCCTGCCCTGAAGCCTGTTTAACCGATTAATCCCCAAGTAGGTGAGTCCATCTGTGCAGTGGAGCCCTCCTGACATAGCCCCCTCTCAGAGGCCTCATCTCCAACATCGTTACTGTGTATGGATGGGGATTAAAGTCTCCAACCCATGAGTTCTGGGAGACCAACTCAGATTATAACTGGTGATAATCCACCCATCAAAGAGCCTTGCGCTTGAACTTGGCTTCCACTGTAACTTTAGAGGGTCAGTGGGCTTGTCTTGTGACCTATACATCCCCCACAGTACGTCAGTAACTAAGTCTCTGGTTGATTATGATAACCATGACAAACTGCATCCTATAAGTCACCCTTGTTGTGCAACCGTAGAGCCTCTGGGCTGATGAGTCGAGCAGGGGAGCCTGGACGCACCCACTCGTTGCCCTCCTTTGGGAGACCACTTTTGGTGTCTTCCTGTGTTGCTTCCCCCTGCTGCTTTCATAGCACCAGCCAACCAATACAGACTCCAAGGAAGTCTGGTTTTAAAAGGCAGCTTTCTTTTTTCTTCTAGGACACCTGGGATGAACTCTTAATCGGAGGAGTAGAAATGAGAAAGGTGTTGGCTTGCCCCAGGTAAGGCTACTCAACAGATTTGTCCTCCAGGGCCCGGTAGGCCTATTTCTTCTCCACCATCACCTAACTCTTGGTTCTTTTGTGACAGGTGCATCATGACCACAGTGGACCCAGATACAGGAGTCATTGACAGGAAGGAGCCCCTGGAAACCCTGAAGAGGTAGAACACCAAAGTAGCCAGTGTGTTAATGATAGGATTCCCATCTGAGCTCAACTTACAGGCTTGGGTGCTGTGTCTGCTGCAAGGTGCACGTGGCATTTCTCTCCTAGCACCTTTGACTCTGCCTTCTGGCTGACTGTGTCTTTGGCTGATGCAAGAGAGCTTGTGTTTTTTTTCCTTCTAAATGCATTGTCTCATATTTTGATACATTTTTACTTGTATGGACTCCATGTTGAAATTTTACTATCTCTAATATCAATTTTTAATAATGCTTACATGTGCACTTCAAAAAGCCTCACAAATTTCAGTTATGCTTATGTTTCTCAAGTTGCTTGATTAGAATCAACATCAAGGAAACTGAGAATAATTGAAATGATACCATGAAATATTGGAAAACAGTGGCTTGTAATAAATTGTCAAAGTTTGTATGCCCAGGAGCTGCTTTTGTGCCAGGATTTTTTTTTTCTTTTGAACTGTTTTGCTATGTAAAGAAGTCTGACCGACTTCGATTCTCAATGAAGAATGTGTTTTTTAAGACTACATGAACATTTTTTTGGAGCTGTATTGTATTTTGTCTCCATTTCCTCTTCTTTGATGTTGGCTTCCAATGGGTTTAAGTTATTTCACGAAGACTTCAGATGTACTATTTTGTTTTGTGTTTTCATTTTTAAGATGCAGCAAAAACCCACTAATCTGTCATTTAGAACCACTTGCTGATTGTATCTCTGTCTTAATTTTTGCTTGTCAACAAAACTCAGCTTTGGACTTAAAACTTCAAGGGAACTGAGAGCAGAGCTTCAATGCACTAAATGCTCCAAGGGGCCGGAGGATTCAGCGTAGTTCCATCTTGAGATTCCATAAACAATCGTTTCAATGAATTGCAGCGTTGAAGCTGCTCATCCAAATTTCTTTTTTACGTATTAACACCTGCAATTGCTTTCTCTTTGGCCTCAAACTAGAGCCATGAAAAACTTGCTTGGATTTTCAGGGTACTTTCAGAAAAAGCAAGATTATTTGCGACTTCTGCAACTATCCACAGGTTTCTCTGTGAACATCCGAGAAAGAGCTTAGGAAAGAGACATGGGATGAGATGGAAGAATGGAAGCTGGTGTTTCGTTGTGGGCACTTAGACTGCGCTTTGCCGTGGCTGATGGGGATGTTTTGTTTCTTGCAGCTACCGTCTGTGTGAGCCCTCTGAGCATCACCTATACAAGACATCCCCACTTTTTGGAATGTATTATTCCGTGGAAAAAATAGGAAACCTACAAGTAGGGGACCCCGTGTATCGGATGGTGTAGTAACATCTTCTCTGGATACTTGGCATAAGGTCAGCTTTGTGTTGAAGACACAGCAACTTGAAGTCATTCCATGTTTCTGTGTGTGTGTGATGCTTTATACATCATGCTGCTTTAAAAAAAAAGATTTATTTAATTTCATTGAAAGGCAGATATAGAGAGGAGGAGAGACAGAGAGGAAGATCCACTGTCCGATGATTCACTCCCCAAGCGAGCACAACAGCTGGAGCTGAGCCAATCCAAAGCCAGGAGCCAGGAGCTCTTCTGGGTCTCCTATGAGGGTGCAGGATCCCAAGGCTTTGGGCTGTCCTCGACTGCTTTCCCAGGCCACAAGCAGGGAGCTGGATGGAAAGTGGCGCTGCCAGGATTAGAACTGGCAACCACATGGGATCCCTGGTGTGGAAGGCGAGGACCTTAAGCACTAGTCACCACGCTGGGTCCCATCATGCTGCTGGGATTAGAACCAGATCTCATATGAGATCCCAGCGCATGCAAAGTAAGGACTTTAGCCACTGGGCTGCCTCAGTGGGCACTCCTGTTCAATTATAAAATGCTGATGAATTAGTCCCACTAGAGCCCTGCCTAACCCTTGCTCCAGCGTCATGGAGGGATGCCCTTCTTGTGTAATTTGTAATAGCAGCAATGTTGCACGTCTGTTTCAGGGTGAACCCACCATGATTTCTGTAGCTAGAGGACCTTTTTAAAACATGAAATTCCTTCAAAGCCGTAAAACAAGCAGTGAATATTCATGCCAAGCCCACTGGGATTATGTATTCAGTTACAATTTCAATATACAATTGTTTATGTGTTTCATTCTAAATGCAGTACACATTCACTATAGCAAGGTACTTAGAAAAGTGGAGCAAAGAAAACAATTACATTTATTCTGGCTGAGTTTGTGTGTGTGTGATGAGGAGTTCTGATTTATGTGATATATGAAGGGTCTTCAAAAGTTTGTGAGAAATGCATGCTAGGAACAAACTGCCTGGATTTTCAAATTTTTTTTGTGTAAAAATAAACTTACCTTTTAATTCCATTTTCCATAAACTTGGAAAAGCAGCCTCACAAACATGTATATTCACATGATACATACAGACCTATTATACATGTGTGTCAGTGTGTACATGTATTAAGCGTACTTCCATAACTACCCAATCTATTCCAGCACCATTTTTGAAAGCTTCATAATATTACATTGCATCACTGATGTTACTTGAAACATCATTGTTTTAGTGTTTGATACTTTGGCCTACATAGAATTTTGTTGTAAATAATAAAGTATACAGCTTTGTAGGCACAGCTCTTTAAAATGGAGAGAGATTTCCTGTAAGTTGGATTCCCAGCAGTAGAGTTGCAGATCCTTGGGGTATGGGCGTATGTGGTTAGTCCTTCACTAGCAATATTCACAAGGGTTGCTCCTGCCTGCACTCCCATGAGACCTGGATGCAGCACCCTTGCTTGAATCCAGCCTATACAGGCAGCTTTTTCCCATTAAGGTCATTCGGGGACACAACATAGTTGATCTTGCTGGTATTTTAACCTCCGTAAGTGACTGTTCTGTGGGTGTTGAATTATTTATGACCAATGGAATAAATAACCAAGGAATGAGAGATGTTTGTTATTTATTCAGGTTTCAGCCCCAGGAAGCAACGAGGAGGATTTGAACAGCAGCAATACTTGGGCAAGTCTTTGTTAACCTGACTTGGACCATCTTCTTCCTGGAAACGAATCTTGATTTATGACTTTTCAGAGTTTGGTATGCTTAGAGTTAATGTAAAGGAAGCATCAAGTCTGTTTGGGGTACATAAAGAGATATAAATTTTCTGGAATAAAGGCTTATAAAATAAATGACATTGTTGATAAAGTGATGTTGAGTTTTACGATAGCCACTATGCTTTTCTCACCCCTAACTTTTGTGTTTATGAACAAAGAAAGATTGAGGAACCAGTCAAAAAGTAGCTGAATTTTTTTTCAAATGCCAACATTTGATTAGGTATTATTCTGTTTGAGGAGAAATGGAAAACAGTAAGTCGCTTTCCTCATGTGCCTTACTTGTTAACATTCCTGTAAGTGTCTATTAACTGGTTTCACATGGCTATTCTGCCCCATAGACCTTTCACACCTGTGTTTTTGGCCCTATACCAGTGTGTTATGAGGGCAGCACTTCGGTATAGAAATCATTTTAGACCTTGCCCTTGGATTTGGTTCTACTGTATGAAAGTAATTTGTTTGTGTTTAACTGCCAGATATATCCCCTTGGAATTCCAAGTCTGATCAAGAAGAAAACAGTTTTTAAAAGAATAACATTTTAAGAGTTAAAGTGGGGCGGGGGAAGAAGGCACAAATATTTTTAGGTGCAAATAATTTTTGTAACAAAATAAATATTTTACTATGATGAGCAAAATTTCTCACTGAACTGCTATATAAGTGAATGAACCCACTTGTAATTCTTTGTGGTTTCTGCATTAATAAAGTGAGTCTCAGTCCCATCTTCTCTTTGGTATTTATTATCATGAACCTGGGGCATTGCTCATTTTATTCTGGTACTTCAGCGGCTGTCGATGCGTTTTTCCTGGCCCCTTTTCATTGCCTCCACACAGCCAGGTTGACCCCACAAGCATCACGGGCTGTGCTGGGGGGCTGGGGAGCAGGAGAGCTGGGGAAACACTCCGAACTGTGGGTTCCAGGTGGCCAGTGTGAGGTGCGATAACCATGATGGCCAGTGGCAGTCCAGAAACTTGTGGCAACTGCTCTGTCTCCATTTTTCCTTCATTAGATTCTTGAATTGAATTTAACCTCAGTTTTCCTGGTGTTTAACCCTGTAATGTGAGACTGCTAAGTGAAGTTTCCTTGGCAAGTTTTGGGAGTGATGGCACTGAAAATCCACGCCAACTTTCAGGGTCGACTCTTAAAACAGGAAGGTCACTTTTTTCCTCGTCAATATCAGAGAGACATCAGGGCAAGGGACTAACGGAAGTGCACATGTAGTGCTCCTAGGGGTCTTCCCGTGCAGGGCTGGTCTCAGGAGCCCCTTCGTGGACCTGGTCCCCTTCCCCAACCCTCTTCCTAAAGTTCCTGACGAGTTCACCCGTGCTCAGCCAAGGGCGCCGCGGGCTTCTGGGTCTTTGCCCGCCTCGGCCTCCCTACGCAGTCCCGGGCCGGGTGGCTCGGGGTCGCCGCGTTGGGCCTGGCCGTGGTGGCGCTGGGGGCTCCCGTGGTGGCACTGGCGGCGCGCCCGTGGCTGCAGCAGGTGGGCACCGTAGCACAGCTGTGGATCTACCCGGTCAGATCCTGCAAGGGGATGGTGATGAGCGCCGCGGAGTGCAAGCTCAAGGGGCTGCGCAGCGGCCACCTGCGGGACAGGTACGGCCCAGTCCGCTTTTTGGGCCGCGATGGGCGGCCAAAGAGACACGCCAGGCTACCCTCCGTGGCTGACCTCAGAGCGCTGGAGTCTTGAGGCTTGTGTGTTTTCATTTCCGATGAGCTATTTTGGCGTCTTGAGCTCCTGAGAGATGTGGAATTTGTGCCCAAGGACCCGCCAGTCCACATGCGAACTCATGAATCTGTCCTGGGCGGGCGGTGAGCTTCAAGACCTCGATTTATTTTATCTGCAGCTTGGTGTTTGCAGAGCCTGTTCCTAGGGATCCCGGGGAAAGTTGAAGTCATAGAGCCCAGCCGTCTCAGAGCGGGCCAAGGGGCTGCACCTGTGATCACCGCAGCTGAATGGGCTCACAGTTCAGAGCGCAGTTGCTAAATAGGCTGGGCTCTCTGATTCGCTCAAGCGTGGATTAAATAGTTGAGGCCCAGAGTCCTTTTCCACCGATGCTTTGTCTGGTGGTGAGAAGCTGTCGCTGAATTCCTGGGACTCAGGTTAGGGTTGCAAAACCCCAGGCTGACTCTGAGCTCAAGCAGGCTTGGGGTCTCACTGTGAGGCGGCCTCGGCCTCCTTCCCAGAGCAGCCGCTCAGCTTCAGCCAGTAAGCACAGCTGTAACCAGTCCTGTGGTTTTCCTCCTAACAGCTTCAGACACAGAACACTTCAGCTTCTAGGTGGAAGGTGCGCTCTGCTCCTGTATGCTGTGGGGATTGTAAATATCCTGTGACTGGCTGCGGTTGTTTCTGTAGCCCCTGGGGGCAAAGGCATGATTCTGTTGATCCAGAAAGCATTTATTGAGTTCATGTTACAGTTGGTTGTGAGAACTGGCGCTGGTACCAGACCTGGCAGTCAGTGCTTGGTTTTGGCCATCACACATTCGCAGAAGATGGGATCAGGAGAAGTCAACGGCGGCTCGGGGTCCTAACTGCTGACGTGCTCATCAGAGGTTGAGTTTAGAGACAGCAAGCAGGAAGAAGCACCGGAAGCTGTCAGGCATGACTCAGCAGAGGCAGTAGCAGCTTGATCTGGAAACTGGACAGTGAGTACAAACTTCCCAGGAAAAGAAAAAAGGAGAGGAGTATTCTAGATAGATAGAGGGAATAAACTGGGCATAGACAGCCAGAGAGGACAGTGTGTGCTGGGGGAGAAGTAAACATATGCACAGGTTTTTAGTAAAATTCAAAACAAAGATGTATGTATGAGGTGCATCGCAGCATCATTGGTAGTTGTCAAAAGGTGGAGACAACTCAGGTGTTCGCTGATGAGTGGAGAAACAAAATGTGGTGTAGACATGGGTTGGAGTATTGTGCAACCACAAAGGGGAGCAGGTCTGATACATGCTCTTAACGTGAATGGGTCTTGAAGCACAAAGTTCATTGAGATGAGCCTGATGCAAGAAGAGAAGTTTTGTATAATTCTGGCTCCTGGAGACAAAAAGTGTATTCAAGGTTACAAGAGGCGGGAGAGGAACTGGGGGAAATGGTAGTTATTCTTAAAGGTTTAAAGTTTCTGTTTGGGATGATGAAAAGGTTTTTGGAAAAAGTGGTGATTATTGCAAAACCATGTCTATATGCTCAGTGTCACTGAATTGCGCACGTCAAATGGTGAACATGGTAGAAGTGCTTAAGCATGAATATATTGTCAAAATCTGTTAATGGACACTTGTGTTGTTTTTGCTTTTTGCCGTTGGAATGACACTGCAGCAAACATTGATAAAGCAGTGCGAATGTTTTCAATTCTTTTGTGTTCATACCTAGAAGTAGACCAGATACTTTATGCTAGACAAGAACATTTCAAATGATTTATGAAAAATGCTAAATTAAAAGATAATTTTATTTGGTGGTAAGTTGCTGTGGACTGCATGGATGGGTTGTTCCATGAACTTTCTGAAATGCCTTTGGATGCATGTGTTTCATATTTTTTATGGGTGAAGCCACAGGAAATGTGAGAAGCCCTGGAAATGTGGCTGCATAATGAAAGGCCCTGCTTAGCTCCAGTTACAATCTTTGGTCAGTGTTGTGCAGTGGTGGTCTCATCATTCAATTTCTGCTTGGGATGCCTGAATCCCAGGTCAGAGGGCTGGCTCTTACTCCAGCTATTCTGCACCCAATTTGGCATTCCTGCTAATGCAGCTTGGAGGCAGCGGGTGAGGGTCCAAGTTCCTGGTTCCTGCTACCCATGTGGGAGACCCAAAACTGAGTTCCTGGCTCCTGGATTTAGCTCTGCATAGCTCTGCCTGTTATCGGTACGTGGGGGTACTGAACCTCTGGCTGGAAGATTGGTTGATCTCCCTCCCTTTTCTGTTCCCTCCTGCTTCCTTCCTATAACTTAAAGGAAGAACCATGGAGGGGTCTTTGAATGAGATTATAAGATCAGATTTGCATTTTTCTAAGACCAGACATTGTTACCAGGGAGAATTACTAGAAAAATACTCATCTTCCGGTATCAAAGATTTGGGGTAGGACAGGCAGAGCTCTGTCTGTGGAGGAAGAAGAATAGTCACAGGGAAAACTTGCACCAACATATTTTCCTGCTCAGCCGTGATAACCTACTGGAAGTGATGGAAGAAATATATTTTTTAATTTTACAAGGGTGTATCTTATTAATATGAAAGTCAAATTATATTTTCATATAATTTAAATATACAATATATAGTACATATGCATATAAAATACACATACATACATATGTATATATTTAATATATTTATATTATATATATGCACGTACACACACACACATATATATAAAGAGAGAGAGACAGAAAGACAGAGAGGGCTTCCATCCATTGGTTCACTCCCCAAAGTGTCTGAACAAGCAGAGGTGGACCAAGCTGAAGCCAGAGCCAGGAGCTTCTTCTAGGTCTCCCAGATGGGTGCAGGACCCCAAGCACTTGAGCCTTCCTTCTCTTTCTCAGGTACGTTAACAGGGAGCTGGATCAGAAGTGGAGCAGCTTGGATTTCAACTGGTGCACCTATAGGAAGTCAGCATTGCAGATGACAGCTTAACATGTTACACCATGACCCTGGGCCCCAAGAAATATCTTTAGTGACCTAAAATATCTGCCAAATCTTTTCTTATGCCTGGGGATTCCAAAAGCAAAAATTCACTTTTCTTATTGTGATTATTCCATCCGTGTGCACAGAAATGATCAAAATGCTAATATATCTCACTTCTTTGTGCTGAGAGATAGATTTCACAAACGCGTTCTTTTTCTGGAAATGGCTCTCTCTATTATTATTATTTTTTTTAGGATGTACAGAGTATTGGGAATATTGGACCAGAAAAAAAAAAAGCTATATTAGATCTTTTAGCAAACAGCGAATTTCACAGCATTGGATATTAAAATTAAAAAAATTTTAAAGGGTGTGTGTGTGGGGGCTTCGGATTGGCAAGGTGTACGTGGCAGTGTGTGCTGTGCCTGTGAACTCCATGGTCTGGGGTGGTACAAGCAAGGACGCTTCCGTCCAGCCGAACCCCTGCCTTCCAGGTGACAGGTACAGTGCTTCCTTGTGCCCTTGAACTCTTTGTGTGAAGTAGATTGTTCTTTTCTGCTTGGGGTATATTTAATGAAAGTCACCCGGCTTTCTGACCATTGACATGAAGGCAGAATTAATGTCTTTGATTTCAGTGCCATGAGCAAACTCAAAATGTTCTGCAGATCTTGTAGGTTGGAAACTATAGTTGTTAGTGAACTTTTTGAAATTAACAGGCGGACTGTCTTGCCAGCTGCTGAGCTGGTGTTAGCACAGCGGGGCAGGCACGGCAGACTTAAAGGGAGGAGATCAAAGACAACAGTGCCCGACTGGAGCTCCTGCAAAGACTGCCTGCCTGTCATAGTGCTTCATCCATACCCTGTGTTTTGAACAGGACAGGTTTTGGCTTGTGATCCACAAAGAGGGGAGCATGGTCACTGCTTGCCAGGAACCTCACCTGGTTCTGATTTCCCTGACCTGTGACAGGGACACCATGACACTCAGTGCACCCTACTCAGAGGACCTGCTGTTGCCCATCAAAACACCCACCACCAATGCAGTGCTCCAGTGCAGATAAGCAAAGGGCAGTTCTTACTCTTCCATGAATAACTATTCATGCAGCAATGGAAAGATGAG